AAGTTTTTAAGTCTGTAAAAAAGAAGTTTTTGAGGAAGAAGAAGTAGTATTATATATATATATATATATATTTTTTAGACTTTAGAAACTCAGAGGCCGATCAAATATCGGGTTAAATATCGGTGGGGTGGCCGATGTCCGATATTCAGTTTTAAGGCCGATACCGATAGGGGGCCGATTATATCGTGCATCCCTAGTTTAGGGTTTTCCAGCAGGAAAGATGTGATTGGTCTGGCTTGGGAGAACAGTTAAACTTGGGCATCATGTTACTGCTCCACATGAAGTGGACCAACTTTAGTGATCTGCCATTCTGGGATTTTTGGTTATGCCACTAGAGGGTTCCACACTGCGGTATTAAGTTCTCTTCCTGTTTTGACTGCTGAGCTGCGTTGTTGTTCAGGCTTCTCCGTCTTTTTCTTTCTGTGATATCTCCTTATACAAGTAACTCCAACTGTCAAGAAGCACTTTAAAGCCTAGCTTGAACATCCAGGTGGTAAAATAGGCCCACCAAGACACCCCACCTAGTTGTCCTCTAACATTGCCTGAGCAGCTATGCGATTGGGTAGCCGTACGCAGAAAACGTAGTCGTAGATGTCTGCCCACTGGTCGCCACTAACCCATCCATATTTCTAACCGATTTTCCCCGCTCATGGACGTACCCACTGGGTATTCACTTGGTAATGACACGCAGTTACGCCGATCGGAGGCAGTGATGGGCAGTAGCGCCGCTACATGTAGCGAAGCTATTAGTTTAACTACATGTTCCAGTAGCTTGACTGTAGCGTAGCCGCTTTATTTATCAAGTAACTTTCCAGTAGTGACGTTATTGTTTTTTTCAAGTAGTGACGTAGCGTCCACAAACGCTACAAAATCCAGGGCAAAACTAAGTAATGAAACCAGGTTTTGTATTTTTTAAACAACAATCGGAGTTATTTGTCGGACATTTATGCATTAGCCTCTATTCTGCCTCTCCTGTCTGTATCTACGAAACATGCGCATGCGTACTGCAGCGGAACTCAAAGAACACACACATGTTGTGTCACAATATCCTTGTGGGGACCTTCCATTGACTTCCATTCATTTCCCACTAATTTATATGGCCTAACCATGACCCCTGCCCTAACCCTAACCATTACCGACACATACCTATCCTTAAACCTAACCTAAACTCAATTCACACCTTAGTCCTAAACCTAACCCCCACCCCACGAAGAGAAATTTTCCTTATGGGGACCAGTTGTTGGTCCCCACAAGTACCTATGAGTCCCCAAAATGTAGCATATTCCTAGGAAATTGTCCCCACCAGGTATTAAAGACATGGCCACGCACACACACAGAGCCACACACACAGGATGGAGGAGGAGACAGGATCAGAGCGAGAAGAGCAGCCAACTGTCGCTACCACACCGCGGCTTTATCTTCAGAGATATTGAAACTTGTTGAATCCTCAGATAAAAAGTACGTGTTCAGATGTCTGCTATGCAATCCAAAAACCAAACCGTTGTCAATGTCCAGGACATTGAACACCAACCTGAGAACTCACATTCAGGTGAATCACTGATTTCCCTCCTGCAGTATGCAAGTGAAAATATCTAGCGTCAGTTTAAATCCCAACTCACTGTAGCCAAATGCTGTATGTAAATTAGTAAACCCAAAGCTTCCCACCTACCAACAAGCAGCGTGTGATGGAAAGGGACTATCCAAGTGGCTAAGAAAAAGTGTTAAAAAAAAGTTTATGCAGTTATTATAATTGTAAAATTCGATTAGCCTGAATAATGTTCAGTTATTCAAACATGAGTGATTTTAAAGGTTCTTGGCCATAGAGAGCTCATGTGGCCAAGACTAGCCATTTGTTTTACATAGCCAAACACTCATTAAAACAGTCAACTGCAGTCAAGTTTTTGAAATAAAAATGAGAAAAATATATCAGCTTTAACTTTATTGTCGCCTTTAATTTCCAGATAGTTCAATCTGATGAGTGCCACTAACATATTCTCATTAGAGAGCAGTAGCCAAACTTAGATATTGTATTTTCATGGCCTAATTTACCAGACAGGATGTTTACATAAATCTGTTTTAAGGCTTATTTGCACAGATAAGATTTTTTAGGTATGGAGGAACAGTTCTACCGTATATAAAAATAAATACATGCTCAATAAATAAATAAGCATTCAATTAATTACCCCCAAAATACAATGAATAAATATGTAGGTAGAAATTAAATTATACAGTGAGACATAAATGTATATATAGCTCTTAATTAGCTTCTTTATTTTTTCACCTTCTTTTGTAAACAGTTTCATTTGTTACTTGAATCGACTGTTTAATTGAGGTCTGAAGAAGTTTTCTCTAAGGGAGACCCTAAAGAAATAAGATGCCTTTTGTAGGGTTTTGTTTTCCCTAGAGATGTCCATTGAATGCAAACTCATAGCCATGTCTCGATATGTAGAACACTACACAGTACCTTCAATTTGGTTTTAATAACAGCAGATTGTTTACTAGTTTGTCTACTAGTACCCTATTTTCACGACTATAAGGCGCACATAAACATCTTTTTTTTCCCTCAAAATGTGCGGTGCGTCCTTTGGTGCGGTGCGCCCTATGTGTGTTGTTACTGCGACTTTTGAGACCACCTCATTGAGGAGATGATGAAAGAGTGGCTGAATGTAAGGAGACCAGGTGTTTTTTTTTCCACTCATCACCATCGCTGTTAATCTGACTCCATGCGTGCCCATCTCACAGCTGATGTGAAAAACATGGTGAAACAAATTAATGCTGTGCTCGCTGTGAACCGGACGCAGCAGGTGCAGCAGAAGCAGCGAGTTTACATGCAAAGTCAACGGTTGACGAGCGTATAGGCGCAGCAAAAGGTCCCGCAGCGCGTTTTGAGCAGCAGGCGCAGCGAGTCGAGAGCGCGCCGCCAACGCGCTGCTGCTGCTCGAGATGGAAAAAATGGAAGTTTTGCTGCTGGACGCGCCGCATCAACCAATCAGAGAAGCTGATCTGGGAGCTGACAGCGAGACAGACAGCGCTCTGATGACATATGATATTAACGCAAATGGAAAAGGCTGGATGGATGAGGAGATGATGAAAGCGTGGCTGAGGGAGGTGTATGTGAGGACAACAGGTGGTTTTTTTCCACGCATCACCATCGCTTTTAATATGTGACTCCATGCGTGCCCGTCTGACAGCTGATGTGAAAAACATGGTGAAAAAAAATGAACGCTGTGCTCGCCGTTATCCCGGGGGGTCTGACAAAGGAACTTCAACCGCTCGACATCGGTGTGAAGCGGCCGTTCAAAGTAAGGCTGCGAGCGGCGTGGGAGCGATGGATGACCGACAGAGACCACAGTTACAGGATAAGTGGAAGGCAGCGCCGGGAAGTTACGCCACAGTTTGCGGATGGATTGTAGATGCTTGGACTAACGTGTCTGCTGGCTCTATTGTTCAAGCTTTCGCAAAAGCCGGCATTATTTCTGAGGAGCCGCGCTGCACGGAAAGTGACTCTGACAGCAAAGAAGGGGAAATTGGCATGTCTGATTTAGCGCAGCTGTTTAATTCATAAACAGAGGAGGATGACTTTGATGGGTTTGATTAATACTTTGTAATAAATACATGAATAAAGCACAAACATACGCAGTTTTGCTCCCGCTCTATTTTTCTACCTGAAAACTTAATTCAACAGCAGCCTCTGGGCCGGGTCTCCTCCTCTTCACCGCGGTGGCTGGCAGGTGTTTTTTCATCTAAATAATCTAAATCTTGCAGCTATATTTGCTGTGATCAGTGGGAATAAAGTAGTTTTAATATGTTTTTTACGTGAGAAGGTCCACCTGAAAACTTAATAATTGCAGTCAGTTCATCCAGATTATCTATTTCTGTCGGAGGCGCTCAGACCCCCACATACCAGCGGTGCACAGACAGTAGAAATCCCTTCATCAGCAGCCTCTAGGCTGGGCAGCCTCTGGGTTCACCGCGGTGGCTGGCAGGTGTTTTTCATCTAAATAATTTAAACTGCAGGCACCAGGATACCGGTAATAAAAGCGAACATATTCTGTCGGCAGGTTTCAGGATTTTAAGTTAATTTAGGAGTGATCACAGCGCTGTGTCATCTGCGATGTGTCTGTCTCATGGCCAGCTCGCAGGTTTGATTAATACTTTGTAATAAATACATGAATAAAGCACAGTCATACTCAGTTTTGCCCCCGCTGTATTTTTAAATATGCAGTAGAGGTATTTAAAGGTAGTAGAGGACATGTACCTGTATATAAAAAACGCGCCCTATAGTCCGGTGCGCCTTATGTGTGTGTTAAATACAGAAATGGGACACATAACTGAGAGTGCGCCTTTTAGTACGGTGCGCCTTATGGTCGTGAAAATACGGTAATTACTTCAGTTTTTATTTTTTATTATGCTGATCATAAAGCAATTTTTACACAGTTTTATGTCATTGGCTGATCTTTAATAAATATTTTAACCAGTGTATTAGGCTACGTTCACACTGCAGGCCTTAATGATCAATTCCGCTTTTTTGGTGAAATCGGATTTTTTGCGTGTCCGTTCACACTTCCAAGTATATGACTTCTACCCATGAATTGTTTTGGATTTTTTAATTAACTTTATTTTATTTTTATGGGATTTCGGGGTAACAATCAACATATACCAAACCGAAAACCGTGACCACGAAACCATGAACCGAACCGAACCATGGATTTTTTTTTAACCGTTCCACCCCTAATATATATAAACACACACACACACACACATCCAGAGCACAACCAGCTTGCTGAATGTTGAATAAGACGGGTTTAAAAAACAAAAAGTGCTGCTTTATTTAATATTTCAGGTAAATTTATACACTGTAAAAAATAAAAAAATAAAATAATTAAAGTAATTAGATCAGATTCAGCCCAGATTAAAAATAATTTATACAGATAATAATTTCAATAGTCGGTGTATTTCTGCCAGATTTTGTGTAACTGTCCCTTTCTTTTACATTGCAGACGCGGGATCCTCACAAACGAGGTTCAGAAGAATCAAAGGTAAGAAAGGGGAGGGGCTGGGAGGGAAGAGGGCGGGGTCATACATGAGCAGCCAATCAGATACTAAGGAACAGTTCTGGAGTAAAACTAAACTCTTCCTGTCTCTGTTAATAGGATGTAGAGAAAGGCAAGTAAAGAACCGTAGATACTGCAGAAGAACTATTCCTTCCTCTACATTCAAACCACACACTTGAATCTTTTTATTTTAATCTGGTGTTTTAAAACAGGGGTTTAAAGTTTAGCAAATATCTGAGAAATGCATTTAATCTGGTACCTTAAACTTTATCATTTGGGTTCAGGAGTCTCTGAGTCAGAGGTCAGAGAATAATGGGTGGAACCTGTGTTCCCATCAGGCTCTATGATAGATTAACATTTGATAACAAGCTATAAGCAGGTATCAGTTCTGAGCAGCATGACTAAAAATCTTTACCTTTTTGCTATGAATCCATAACTCTGCACTCATAGGCCTCGGTGAACGAGGTCATGAAATAAAGAAACTTTCTGCCATCGTCTTCGGCTTCGTCCTGGACCGGGTCACGTGGGCCACAGCCTCAGCAGAGACTCCCAGACTCCTCCTCCAGCTGTGCTGGGGGAAGCCTGAGGCGCTCCCAGGCCAGCTGAGAGACTTAATACCCCATTTCCTCTACCCTTTAGAAACCGTGCCCAGATCCGTCCGAGCACGGTAACCAAGATAACTGTTGAGTGTAAATGGTACACAAACGGAACAGGACTGCGCCAGTCACAACTGCACCTAGCTAAACTGGTACTAGTTCATCAGCAGGGCTCGGCACGGTTCAGTTCTGGCTCGGTTCTCAGATAACAAAATCCTAATTTCCACTACCTCTGAGAACCGAGCCGTGCTGAGCTCGGTTCCTTACGAGCATTTCCACACCACGGTAGCGCGGTTCCTCGCCTTCTAGTGGCAATCTATGGTACTACTGCTCTCGAGAGGTAAAGAAGCAAACCAGCATGGCGGCGCCCGTAACATTCAGGAAGTCAGGCGAAGAAGGCAGCCTTTGATGAATTTACTTGTCAGTCGGGTTTTGGGAAGAGGATACGACAAAGGTCTAATCAGGGTTTACAGGCGCAGGAAACAACGACAGGCGTTGAGGTTCATTACACTGCTAAGCTAGCGTGACCAAACCTCCGTATTTCCCGGGACATATCCGTATTTCACGTCCTGTCCCGGGCGTCCCGGTTTTTTTTTAGAAAGTGAGGAAATGTCCTGATTTCACTGCGCACGACGCTCCGTGTGACGTAATCCCTGAGCCACGTCAGTGCAGGCAGCCCTGCTCTTTATCAGAGGCTCTTGCTCTGTTCGAAAACCTAGGACGCATCCTCCAAGGACGCGGTCTACCTAGACTGGATCCTTTGAAGTCCTTGAAAATAAGGAGACCGGAAGAGTTTTGGCTGTAAACTCGAACAGGTCCTCCCTTCGGCGGGTTTTACCGCCGTATGCTCTGTTGCTTAGCAACCGTGAAAGTTGACACACAAAGCAGGAAAAGAATGAATACAGAGGTTTTCAAAACTGCTTATTTATTTATTTTTTAAAAAGTTAAAGTGAACAAAGACTACACTCACAAGAATCCAGAGTGGAATAAAGGTTCCAACCACCGGGAGCAGGAACAAATCGAATCAAATGTAATGATAGAAACCTTAGTCAGTTAAATAACCTGCTGCTGTCATTCTGCACATCTCTGATGTTGCTGCTATTTTCAAATATCCATTACTGTAAAAATGTATCTACAAAATATATCTGCAAAATCTCTAATATTCAACAACAAAAAATACTTAGTTAAGCATATTGTGCAAAACAACAATAAAAAAATTAAACTCCTATCAGATTTATAGTTCCCACTCTGCAGATTTATTAGAATCTGTCCTTAAATTACAGCCAAACCCATTTACACAGTAACAGATAAAAACCTTTAGATAAACCAAACATTACCGCCACATATCTGACTCAATAACCATTAAAGCAACTATTTTCATTTATTTCAGACGGAACTATTCACAGAGTTGTATTATATTAAACTGAACTTCCAATTTTCACCACTGTTGTGCGCCAAGTAAAATTTACTCTGATCACGGAGCTAATCCCGATGATGAGACATTTGTTCTTTCAATCACCCCCCCCCCCCCCCCCCCCCCCCCCCCCCCTCCCTCCCCCGCTCCAAGGTGTCCTGGTTTTCCCAAATGAAAATATGGTCACCCTAGCTAAGCAGAATCATCACTGGAAATCGTGCGGCATGGTAGGGAAGCTAGGATTTGAATGAATGTCTGAAATTTCATGGTTACGGAGGCTGACTGTTCGCCTGACGTAGTCCGACTCAATTCTAGTCAGAATATGAGTCTGATGCTGCTCCATAGAGCTGTGATTATGGGGCGTGTTTCGAACGAACCAGGAAAAAAATGCCTCTGCACTCAATTGGATAGACCTACAACCAATAAGAGCAACGGAGTGCGTGACGTATGTTAAGCGACCAAGGGAGCCAGCTGATCAATTAAACTTTTGCCGAATCCCGTAGGAAGGACGCCAAAAACATCTTTCTTTTCAACAAATGCCTTGATCGCGTTTCTCTGTTCCTCTTTTAAAATTATTTTGCTGTCGATATCTTCTAGAACAGACCTAATAGCAGAATCTACTCACCTCAACTCTCCAGCGGCAGCCATTGTAGCGCGCTTTGGTGACGTGGTTGATTACGTTCCTGTTAATCATCTGTCCATCATCGTATAAAGCCCGCCCTGACAATTTGATTGGCCTGCCAGATATTGTGCGAGCATACTCGCGCTACAATTGAGCAATGGCAGACCGAATTTCCCGACCTCAAACCTTGTGGGCGGGGCTAAGTTCGGAATGGTACCCTGGCTAGTTGACTGTAAGGAGATGATGCGGTCTGCTCACATGAGGCCATGTCATCTACATGGGACTCTGCTCCACAGTGAGATGGCGCTACTCGGACTCGTCTATCCGGAAGCCAAACGAGTAGAAGAGGAGCATAAAGCTCACTAGAGTTAAACGCGCTGCTTTGGCAATTTGTGCAATTTTGTGCTGAAAGCCCAAAATTGGCTGAGCAAACGTGACTACTACGGTCTGTCAATTTACAGAAAGAACTCCATTTCACTCATTGCACCCCCGCCATGCTTCTGTGAGGAGGAAGAAGAAGGATCCTTGTTTGCCCACTAAACGATTTGACCACGACCACATTACGACGGTCGACTGAATTTCAAACATATTTGATTTTCTCCCGTCCTTGTGATTCCTGATGGGAGGTGGTCATTAGAGGCTGTTCACCCCTCGTTACCCCCTGTACACTACACCATGCTAGCCTGGGTGCCATTCCGAACTTAGTCCCGCCCACAACGTTTGAGGTCGGGAAGTTCGGTCTGGCATTGCTCAATAGTAGTGCGAGTATGCTTGCCCAATATCTGGCGGGCCAATCAAATTGTCAGGGCGGGCTTTATACGATGATGGACAGATGATCAACAGTAACGTAATCAACCACGTCACCAAACGGTGATGCAACTCGCCGTGAACGACGAGGTGGATATAGCCAGCGGTCGTTGCCAGCTCCTTTTCGGAAGCCCGGAATCCTGGCTGCTGAGGGACATGCTAGGCTCCGATGTTTTTCAAGCTAACGTTATGGGTATCGTCGTGGACGAAGTTCATCTAACTTAATGGTAACAGATCATCTGACTGTCTGATTTAGTAAATAACTCGCAATGTCGTGATATTAATCCCATGTTGTAAACATAGTAGGTAACGTTGTACGTTTGAGGTCGGGAAGTTTAACATACGTCACGCACTCCGTTGCTCTTATTGGTTGTAGGTCTATCCATTTGAGTGCAGAGGCATTTTTTTTCCTGGTTCGTTCGAAACACGCCCCATAATCACAGCTCTATGGAGTAGAATCAGACTCATATTCTGACTAGAATTGAGTAGGACTACGTCAGGCTAACACCACAAACCATCAGGCTGAAAGTCGGCCCGATTGGAAAAAATTCTCGCATGAACGATAAATCGCTCCGAAAAGGGGAAAAAATCGTACAGTGTACGCCCGGATAAAATTAACACTTCTTATTAAATATTGGGAAAAAAAGACATTGATAGCGCATTTTAAACAATTTGCAAATAAAACTTATAGAAAATCTACATACATATACGTGTTATCGGATAGAAATAATCATATCCGTAATGGAAAGTTGTATATATTACATGTTTATTTTTTCCTGTGTTTTATTTTTAGATTGAAGCCTTAGTCTTGGTAACGATTGGATTAATAAATCAGGTTTAATTCAAACTAAGTTTCAGCCCCGATCATGTCTGAAGAAGAAGGGAGTCTGGTGGTCATCATCCCTACTATGAGGTATGGTGGAGGCAGCATCAGGATGCGGGGAGCTGCACTGCAAAAGCGATCTAGAAATAAGTTAAATATTCTTAAATTCAGTGTATTTACCCTTAATTTCAGTAGGTAAACAAGATGATCTGCCAATTGAATGAATGTTTTTACTCTTAAAATAAGATGATTAGATAATATGCACTTGAAATAAGACAATACAAATGTTTTTTCTTCTTTTAAATGTAAATTGTCTTGTTCCATTGGCAAAAGGTCTCCCTTACCTCCTCAATTCAAGAACAAATGCACCTTTTTTAAGAAAAAATTACTTACGATTACATTTTTTGCAGTGTGGACACCCAAACAGATTTATTAGTTTCAGAGGCATCAGGAGGAGGTCCTTCAGGGACGTTTATCTAACCTCTTTATCACTGTGTGAAGATCAGACGTTAAAACCGAGGCTCCTGGGAAATAAACTCAGTTTTTTCTACGTTTATATAAACAGAAAATCTATTTATTTTATGTGTAGAAGGAAAGATTAAACGTTTTCCAAGTATAACCAGAACATTAACGAGAATTCTCTCCATATCTATGTTGAGTCTCCGTGTTCTTTGTGAATGAAGAGGCTGAGGTGGTTTTTCCTTCTGGCAGGTGATAGTGATGCAGGAAGGATCGACGTCTCTGTTCAGTCAGCACCTCAAGCTGCCAACGCTTCCCAACAGCTCCCTGACGTCCTCCTCCTCCGACCCAAAGAAGAGCAAGAGCTTCCACACCTCTAAGGTGGGTGTCTGGGATCAACTAAGGCCCCGTCCACACGAAGTCAAACCCTGGCCTAAGCGCACAAATTTTTCACCAAACCAGCCTCTCATCCATACGAAGCCGGCGTTTCGGGGGTCTGTAAACGATCTTTTTTTTATTCAGCCTTCAGAGTGGGAAGATTTTGAAACGCCGTTTTCGCGTTTCCATCTTTAAGCTCTAACCGCATTTTTTTTTTTACACGCATGCGTCATAGCGTCGCCTCTAAACACGCATGCGCGACACAGTATCACAACAACAATGGCGCCGTACTGTGTTGAATGGTTGCTGCTCATGCTACTCACCCTGCTGTCGGGCTTACAACAGAATCTTCTTCTTCTGGAATATCTCCAGGAAGAACAGAGCAATATCGCAATATCAAAATGGACCCGCAGGGCAACCATGTATAAATATTAGTGCGCAAGCCCAACATTTCGTCGCCTATTTTTGCTTTGGCACCACAGCGCCACTTACAGGCCTGGCATACATTTTGCAGCGTTTTCATGCATTCGTGTGGACGATTACATTTATTTTACATCTCTGTCTTTACGGCAAACGTTCTGGAAAATATTAGCGTTTCGTGTTCATTTTGACTTCGTGTGGACGGGGCCTAAGCCGGCGTCCGTTCCGGAAACGCTCACACCTTCAAAGAAAATGCGATTCGAAAAATTTAAATTTAAGTAGTTAAAATTGTAAAATAAAATAAAAAAATAATAATAATAATTGAAAACTTTCTTTTTCTTTTAAACATTTTTTGAGATTTTGGTTTGCATGGTCACCATTAGTTTCTATTTTTAGGAACAATGTTTGATTTTTTTAAAGTTTACTTTTCTGTTTTATTTTTTAAAACCAGATCTCTTTTTTCTGATGTCATTGCAAGCTGTTGCTGGTTTGTTAATCGATTGATTAAGTTTATTGATCTCAGTGGAGAAATTTACTCGTTCCATCAGCTCAAATGGTCAAAGCAGAAGTAGAATGGTGAAAGGAAGAACAAGGTGCATGAGGTTTATACAGTGCGTCCACATATGACAGCTGATGGTGCGTGGTGTATTGTACAGGGGGGGGTAACGAGGGCCGATCAGCCTCTCACAATTACCTTCTGATCAGGAATCACGAGGTCGGGAGAAAATCAAACATGTTTGAAATTCATCGGCCGTCGTGGGCAAATCGCTCAGTGGGAAAACAATTCAATTCTATTCAGTTTATTTCTATAGCTCCAATTCACATCATGTCATCTCAGGTCACTTTCCAGTTCACCAGATCATCCAGTCAGATTGATTCAAAACTGATTTCATCGACTCATCGATTCTTCAGCAATCCCTCACACTAAGCATGCTTGTAGCGACAGTGGAGAGGAAAAACTCCCTTTGAACAGGAAGAAACCTCCAGCAGAACCAGGCTCAGTGTGAGCGGCCATCTGCTGAGGCCGACTGGGGTTCAAGGAGACAGAAGCAGACATAGAAAAAGAAGCATAGATACAAAAGGCAACTGGAAAAGGCGGCCCCGTCCAGTAAACACTCAGCCAGGCAGACGAGCTCCGAGCCAGCTCCCATGTCAGAGGATGAAGAGAGCACATCCAGTTAGTCACAGTCAGAGAAACAGGACTACACTGGAAAACAGGCCAAGCTCCAACATCTAGAAACAAAGGTGTTGATGGCAGCAGCACAGCTGATATTTCTCTCCAGGATGGAGTCACAGCCAAACAGGAACAGACCAGATGAAGCTACTATGAGAAAAAGCAGAGAGAGCAGAACGTTAGAGATTGAACTAACAGATTCTGCAGAGTGGGAGAATAGAGATAGAATGAAACAAGGATTCGTCTTCTTCTTCCTCTCAGATGTAAACCCAACAGCATGCCGGGGGTGCAATGAATGAAATGGAGTTCTTTCTGTCAAACTGACAGACCGTAGTAGCCACGTTTGCTCAGCCATGTCTTTGTCCAAATACGTCGTCTCCTTTTATTTTTAGGGCTTTCAGCACAAAATTGCCCAAACTGCCAAGGCAGCGCATTTCACTCTAGTGAGCTTCAGATTGCTTCATATTCATTTAGCTTCTGGATAGAGGATTTAGAGTAGCGCCATCTCACTGCAGAGCTGAGTCCCACGTTTCTTTTTTTTTAGTGTGAGCAGGTAGATGGCATCAGAGCGTCGGGTCGCACGGCGTGAGAACAAACATCGTGAGCCGTGAACTTTTAAACCCTGCTGTTTCGTCTTACAGTGTGAGCTGTAGCTGCGTGCAACGATTGAAAAAATCCCAAACAGTACGCCCTTTAGTGAGTTTGTTTTTCCATTTTAATAAAAATAATTTTTGCTTTCCTTTTTAAAGGCGTCGATTATTTTAACAACATAGGTTAATTTTTGCTTCGTATAGGATCAGTAAAATTTTCTCTGTAGGCAGGATCATTTATTAGCTTTAGGTAAGATTTAAAAAATTTTTTAAAGGACAAATCAAAGATTTGTGGAAAAGATGAGACCGACTCCATTATTGTGTTTTGGATTTGCTTGAATTGTAATTTCAGATCCAAGTAAATGGAAACCTTCTTCACGTGGAAACAGTTTCCAGTCTAAACACTGAAATTTGATAAATTAGCCGTGGAGCAGGAGGTCACGCCCGCTCCCATTCTGGAGTCGCTGCTCTCTCCATTATATTCAGAGTGGAGCAGGCAGGGTTTAAAAGCAGCACGAGTCGGAGCTGTTGGTCAGATCAACAGCTACTGCAATTCAATTCACTTTATTAATAAACTGAATTCACATCATGTCATCCAGTTCACCAGATCATCCAGTCAGATTGATTCAAAGTTTATCTATCTAAGGAAAACCAGCTGATTGCATCGACTCATTGACTCTTCAGCAATCCCTCACACTAAGCATGCTTGTAGCGACAGCGATTAATACCCTATAGAAAAAAATCCATGCTTCAGCTTTATGAATTGTTTTATGTTTTTCCTTATTTTAAAGGCAAAAAATACAAATAAGCTCTTGGTTGGTTAAGATGATGACAGCTTTCTTAGGGCAGATATTTAACAAAAATAATAGGTTGTGTTTTATTTAAAAGAAACAACATGTAATATTTAACCGCCTTAAACAAGTTTTACTTACCTGGACTCAGGGCAAAATGTACAGAAGAGGATTAGGGTCACTGAAAAAAGAAAAAAAAAGTTAACTGATCTTTAAATTTTATTTCAGTTTAATATCCGAAAAAAGTCAGAATTCTGACTTTTATCAGAATTTTGGACCTTAATGTCAATGGGCAGCATGTAGGAAGAGATGTGGAGCACATAGCTTCACTGACAAACATGTGAGGTGTTTGAGGTGGCCAGTGACACATTGGTGGAAAATGATGGAATTAGGCAACTTTTTACGTGCCTGAGGGGTCCCCTCATTAATGGAGGAGCAGAAGGTAATTAAAACAACAGAGATAGTTGTCGCTACCCGATCCGTACCGGTAGCACGATCCGTACCATCAGCTCATTTGCGCCTGCGCGAACAGAATAACTTCCGGGTCGCCAAAAAATAATGTAATTACGGTACTGAAAAAACTTTATTTATATCCTTAAATAATTAAAGAATACTAAACTACATCGTAAAAACAATATTGAAGACTTTTCTGGAAGAAATGGATGCTTTTTAAATTCAATCCATTGTATTGCTTGACGTCATTTTGCTGGAATAAAAATCCAAATTTTCGGGAAATGTTCCCTTATCAATGAAAAACTGCAGGTCACGAAAGGTAGCAAATGAATCCATTGTGGGATCAGTACTGCTGGAGTGCATAGTTAAGTTCAGAGTAAATCAAATATTTAAACAAATTTAAATATGCGACGTATATTTGCGCATGCTCAGAGCAGTCAAAGTAACTATCACAAGGCGATTGAACTTTTTTTATGTATTTCTGTTTTTTTATTTTTAGAAAATGCAATATTGACGAAAATACAAAGATGTACAAAAAGAAACCCATGCCTCTAAAAAATACAAAAGCATAAAAAAGTAAGAAAAAGGAAATATTGCCACCGGAAGTTATTCTGTTTGCGCAGACGCAAATGAGCTGATGGTACGGATCGTGCTTCCGGTACGGATCGGGTAATGACACTAGTCTCTAAAACAGACATGGCTATGGCTTGATGCTAACATGTTTGTTAGCTGTCAGAATTCTGAGAAAAAAGTCAGAATTCTAAGATTAAAATCAGAATTCTGAGATTAAAATCAGAATTCTGAGATTAAAGTGAGAATTCTGAGAAAAAAGTGAGAATTCTGAGAAAAAAGTGAGAATTCTGAGAAAAAAGTGAGAATTCTGAGAAAAAAAGTGAGAATTCTGAGAAAAAAAGTGAGAATTCTGAGGAAAAAAAGGTGAGAATTCTGAGAAAAAGGTGAGAATTCTGAGAAAAAAAGTGAGAATTCTGAGAAAAAAAGGTGAGAATTCTAAGAAAAAAATGTGAGAATTCTGAGAAAAAAAGGTGAGAATTCTGAGAAAAAAAGGTGAGAATTCTGAGAAAAAAAGGTGAGAATTCTGAGAAAAAAAGGTGAGAATTCTGAGAAAAAAAGGTGAGAATTCTGAGAAAAAAAGTGAGAATTCTGAGAAAAAAGTGAGAATTCTGAGAAAAAGGTGAGAATTCTGAGAAAAAAGTGAGAATTCTGAGAAAAAAAAGTCAGAATTCTGAATTTTTTCCCATATTAAACTGAAATAAAAACTGAAATAAAATTTAAAAATCAGTTAACTTTTTTTTTTCTTTCTGTGGCCCTAATCCTCTTCCGTAAAAATTGCCCTTTGGATATGAAAGGTTGCAGACCGCTGCACTAATTGGTGCCCCATATAGTACTTAGGGCGGACGTTTGGACACAGCCCCCGTTTATACTGTCGTAATTCAGACTTCTTACCTATGAGAAAAGAAGTTGTTTCCCTATAATGATCCAGCATCCCAACATAACAGCACAAATACAAATATTAGCTCAGGATCACTTATTTTGGATGAGGTATAAGAAAGGTAG